ATGATGGGATACGACCATGCTCAGCTGCAGTGCCATGATTAGGCTGAGCCGGCACCTGTGGGACTCCACCTTCTTTACCCGGCACAACCATCTGATTTGGAAGAGACACATACATGGCCACCTCAGTCAGGTCAGAACGACACAAACAAACCCATTTCTGTAGACAGGTGCAAGTAATTCCAAGCAGCTCTTCTACATCAGAAGGGATCAAGGGCATGAAGTTATGATAGGGAGGGTGGGGCTTCTGCGTGTGTATGTGCTGGTGCATTGTGTGCCGTACCTGGTGAGGATGTGCACCAGCAGTAAAAGCCGTAGGATGGCACAAATCCACAGTTCCCAGGGCCGGAGTCTGATATGACAGACGAGAGCTGTACAGCTGAGACAGAGATATTCATATCACAAATAAGAGTCGAATGTCAAATTAAGAGGTCGGCTTTTTAAATCTAGTCCTGTAAAAACCTCACTGCAGAGCAGAGAGCAAGAAGGATCAGAGTAGTTGTCAGAGCAAACACACAAATGCTTCAAGTAAAACAGCAGGCAGGTCAGCTCAAGGAGAAGGCAGCAGTGATTGTGTGCTTTTGTCAGAGCAGTGCTCAAACAATCTCTTGTGTGAGTGATACTGTATAACCCTCTTAATTAAAAGGTTATACAAGGTTATGAAGGGTAAGCAGTGGAGTATAGGTTACTGGGGCAGGCCACTTTGTACTTAATCTACCAGCTGCATGCGTGTACACACACTTCTCTCACACACACATACTGGACTCACTTGCTGTGAGACCCCAAGCCCCATGAGGGGAACCTTCAGTGTGGCCATCAGAGCCGGCTTAGGTGTCTTAAAATGTGCCTGACTTACAGTACACACACACTACATGCACACAGAAAGAAAGAAAGAAAGAAAGAAAAACAAAAGCAACAACAGAAATGAAAGCGCTACCACAGAAAGAGATAACGGGGAGAGAGAATCTGATTTCATGGTCACATAAATGACTTTAATGCTAGTCTTCTGCAACCTCCAATACTACACAAGCATTATGTGGAAAGGTAAATACTGCAGCAAGTACACCAAGACCAATGCTATTTTAGTATTATTTGTATACTATTTTACTATTTATTAATATTTTGAAACAGAATTTATTCCTATATTTTCTTTTCTCATTTCAATTTGAGTAGTTGTGTGCAGGTTTGTCATGTTATTTTAGTTTTTAAAAATATTTATATTTAGCTTATATATATATATATATATATATAATTTTTATATTTTATTTCACCTTTACGTCAGCTTTATTTCATTTAGTGAATTTAGTTAACAAAAACAACACTGTTCAAGACACCTGACTAACCAAAAGCTGAGAAAAAGAATGAAAAGAAAACACCTAAGAATAGGGAAGATATGTACTGTACTAAGCAGCAATCTCAGGTCATATTTATGGCTGCAGGAAAGCAAAAACCAAAATCACATATAAAGAATGAGACCTGTTCATCAGGGAACAGTTGAAAGAGACTCATGAATGAAAACAGCTTATCCAAGGTTAACAGTTAATCTCTTAATGGCAGGCTGCAATGCACCTGTACTGAAGTCTGACCTGTGCAAGGAAGGTGGTGAAGGGTTATTTTTAATGGGATAGATGGATCGCTGATAGTGACGGCATTACCTGTGATGGTGGGGAGGTGGAAAAGGACGTGGTGCACACCTCCTGAGAGTCTTCTATTCCTGCATAAGTCCCTCCCTCATCTTCTCCAGGCGTTCTTAGAGAGAAAAAAGAACGGGCCAAAGGATAAGAAAGCAGAGTTATCAGCTTGAATACCTATACTATCAGTATGTAAAAGTGAACTTCTGGTATTAAGGGTTTAATTCCAACTCATCTTGAATTCTGAAATAAAACAACACTTAAACATTGTATGTCTTTCTACTATACAATAAAAAAATGAAATATTAATTTTTACTATAAATAACAATTCAGGTGACATTCTACACTGCGATATATGCAACAGTTTGGGGTTGGTAAGATTTCTTTAATGTTCTGGAAAGAAGTCTCTTATGCTCACCAAGGCCACATTTATTTGATCAAAAATACAGTTAAAACAGTAAGAATGTGAAATATTATTACAATTTAAAATATTTTTTTTCTATTTTATGATGTCATTTATTCCTGTGATGGCAAAGCTGAATTTCCATTACTTCAGTGTCACATGATCCTTCAGAAATCATTTTAATATGCTGATTTGGTGCTAAAGAAACATTTCATATTATTCTCAATGTTGAAAAGTTTAGTATTTTTTTGTAGGAACTGTGATATATATTTTTTCCATAATTCTTTGATGAACAGAAAGAACAGCATTTATTCGAAACAGAAATGTTTTGTATAGGGATGTAACGATTCACTCATCTCATGATGCAATATGATTCACGATACTGATTTCACAATACGATTTTCTTTAACAAAATGAGATTTAAGACAAATTCTAAATGAAAAGGTGTTCTTTTATTATTTCTCAGATAAAATGCTACACATTTCATGTCAATCAAGTGATAACAAAACTAAACAATTTAAAACAAATCCCAAATCAAATAAACAAAAAATAAAAATACAAGAAATCTCCTCATGTAAAAACAGAAATGTTTTGTATAGGGATGTAACGATTCACTCATCTCATGATGCAATATGATTCACGATACTGATTTCACAATAAGATTTTCTTTAACAAAATGAGATTTAAGACAAATTCTAAATGAAAAGGTGTTCTTTTATTATTTCTCAGATAAAATGCTACACATTTCATGTCAATCAAGTGATAACAAAACTAAACTATTTAAAACAAATCCCAAATCAAATAAACAAAAAATAAAAATACAAGAAATCTCCTCATGTAAACAAACTAAGGCTTTGTCTGTGCTCTTTCCATTTAAAAGTAGAGGCAACCACTGCATTTTAATCACAATCCAAACAAAGATGCTGCATACATGCAGCATGAGCAGTTTGTGACTTAAATTTGATTGTATAATTTTGAAATTTAAAGCAAAAACAGAATGGTCTGACTTTAGCTTTGTGAAATTATGCTACATAAAACACATCTGAAGGAAACAAAAGCAGCAGACGCACTGAATGAGACGCAAATTCAATCTCTGACAGTAGGTGGCGCTTATGGAACAGCAGCGATACAGCATTTCCTTGGTTACCGCTGTAAACACAGCTGCACAGCGCTTTTGAATACTGCTTTAATAGACATTATGCAGGGGCACGATGAAAAGAAAATACCATTGAATTTTCTGAAGACAGTCAGTTCCCCTCAGAGATACACTCATATAAACCCCCACCCCCAATTGTTTCGTGATTCGTTTAAAATCTCAACCGCCTTGAATCATTGCATATTTGTATCGATTTTCAACCGGCTTGGCATCGTTACATCCCTAGTTTTGTAACAATGTAAAAGTATTCGTTGTCACTTTTGATCAATTTGTGTCATGCTGAATAAAAGTATTAATATGATCATATCTATGATTTTTACGCACCTGTAACTGCAGGGATGCATGTGTGCCATATTAGTGAAGGGACGCTCCACAAAATGATCAATGATGATACCCATGATAGGGCCTGTCCTCTCAAATTGCCTGTGAGACACAAGAACAATATCTTGCACAACAACACTACAAAACTACAATAACCAGAATATCCGAATACTTGAATGCAATATATACCTTGAAGACATGAGGGCCAAATTAGTGCGATATGCACAGGACAAAGTGATGGTGCCTATGGGAGTGCCTACAACACCCACTCGCACTGACTGGAACCCTGCAGAGAGAAGTGAAGAAGATAAACAAATACTACAGAACATCTACATGTCCTTTATTAGTATTTTGAAGAGAATCTTCATAATATTACCTTCCCCGAGACCTGTCAGCTGGACATCTCCAAAATAGATCCTACCATAGAGATATTAATAAGATCTGATTGTACATATGACATCCTGTTTTCCCTGTATGAACACATGTATCAAGCAACATAGGGCTTTGTGGAGCAAGAAGAAAGTGTGTTGAGTACCTGTAGAGTATGACATAATCATGCCCTTGTTTACGTGAAAGCTTGTAAGCAGGTGTCACCCTTGTGATGGCCAGCAAAGACTTGAGCAGCAGAGACAGCCGATTATAAACTGTATAGGACACTTTAATGTCCTTATCACACCTGGAAAAAATACAAACCCTAGTTATACCCTGGTATAGTAAATATTGACTTGTTGATAATGTATCAATCTTGACACAGAGCAGGTGTCAGCTGACTGCTTTGTCCTGTCTGTGAAGGGGAACTGTGTGGGCTTACTTTTCATTCATTTCCAAACACCACGTCTCCAGCTCCATGGAGTCTCCCTGCATGGGTAAACGCAATTTCTTAATACTCAAGTAAACATCTTTTTATTAAGTTAGGCATTTTAAACATTTTGTTTCTTTTTATATTTTTGTCATGATACTGTTATTATATTGATGGTGAACTAAAAGAAAGACTAGACCTCTGAGGTTTTGAGGGAGATCTCCACACACATGGATCGGCCGATCCCAGGCAGCTGTCCAGCAAGAGCTTTTTTTGCCTCATGAGTCACCTCTGGGATGTCTTTTATTGCCAAATTAAACTGAATAAAAACATGAAAACAACCAGACAGGCAGATCTCACATTAGTTATGACAAAGAAAACAGGACCACTGAATGTGAAGCGTCTTGGATGTGTCTTACCCAGTCTGAACCTGTCGGTGATGAGGATGAGCAAGTGCTGATCTTCTCTCCAAGCCGGGCTTGAACTATAATTTGCACCGTCTGAAAGACACACAGATAAAGCAAAAGATATCATCACCCTGTTGCCTGGCTGGGATACCAGATTTTATGAATGCAACAATACGCTTAGCACTGTAGTGTTTAATGCAATCACCTTCAAGGCAAAGAATTTGATGAATTTATCCAAGTCTTTCCTGTCCTGTGAGCTCAGATCACTATCCATTGTCGCACAAGCCTAAGACATACAAATTAAAGACACTTTCCTCAGTGAACAGTGAAAAAGCTGATACGATCGGCCGATCCCAGGCAGCTGTCCAGCAAGAGCTTTTTTTGCCTCATGAGTCACCTCTGGGATGTCTTTTATTGCCAAATTAAACTGAATAAAAACATGAAAACAACCAGACAGGCAGATCTCACATTAGTTATGACAAAGAAAACAGGACCACTGTATGTGAAGCGTCTTGGATGTGTCTTACCCAGTCTGAACCTGTCGGTGATGAGGATGAGCAAGTGCTGATCTTCTCTCCAAGCCGGGCTTGAACTATAATTTGCACCGTCTGAAAGACACACAGATAAAGCAAAAGATATCATCACCCTGTTGCCTGGCTGGGATACCAGATTTTATGAATGCAACAATACGCTTAGCACTGTAGTGTTTAATGCAATCACCTTCAAGGCAAAGAATTTGATGAATTTATCCAAGTCTTTCCTGTCCTGTGAGCTCAGATCACTATCCATTGTCGCACAAGCCTAAGACATACAAATTAAAGACACTTTCCTCAGTGAACAGTGAAAAAGCTGATATAAACACAATAATTAAAAAGGTACATAATACACATATCTGAAAGTCAGGTCAATTAGTAGGATACAATGGAGGAAAAAGCCCTCATTATAAAATAATGTACATTTACATTATTTATTCATATTTTAAAATCGTAACATATTTAGATACAACATGTACAAGATGAATATCATTAATGTAAAATACTGCATCATCTATTCTATCTAAAATTGTACTCCGCCAATTTAGTTGAATATTTGAATGACCGATGACAGACAAACAAACTAGCAAGACAGGTTTTAATGAATAGCGAAGATGTCTGAAATGTGGATCTAACTCATGGAATTACTGAATAATAACCACCACTGTTATAACATATTACATTATTATAACATTATTAGAATATAATAACAATAACTTGCCACTAGGGCCTTCTGTGCCAATTCTGGGGGCAGAACTAAATTGAACTTCAAAATATATTTTTTTACAGATGTAAAATATATATTTTTTACACAAATCACTAATGAACAAATAGACACAGAATCTTTGTGATGCATGCAGTAGACTTTTGGCAGAGTATTCAACATATTACAATGTCATAGATCACTATTTTCCAAAGATGCAAAATTAGATCAGTTAACCTCAAAACTGTTTCGACTAACGAAATCTTAAAAACGTTGATATTCAAATGAAAAGACAAAACGAAGCCATTCATCAAAAGTGTTGAGATGAGATTGTGAGCCTTCTATGATCAAGAGAAAAAATAAGGTGTGGGTTATCTTGTTTCATCCAACTCTAATAATAGTAATAATTAACGAATTTACTGGTGTCTTTAATACTGTCGCGTCTCTACGGCAGCTCGCCTCCATGCATTTAAACATGTACTCAATAAAACGTATTTTTGTTTTTCTTTGTTTGTGTGTGTGTGTATAATATATATATATATATATACACCTTGCTATGTGTACTGCGTTAGGCTAACCGAGACTTGTCATTTGCACTTATGTATTGTTGCTCTTTTGTTAGTTTTGACTGCTTTTATTGTCCTCATTTGTAAGTCGCTTTGGATAAAAGCGTCTGCTAAATGACTAAATGTAAATGTAAAAAACAACAACGCAACACTAAGACGCCTTCATAACAATCAATGTCACATGACAGCTGCCAGTTCATCCGACTCGAGATTTGAAAACAGTAGACCTGCCATTTGTTTCTCACAGCCAGACATCTCAAATAGTTTACAATCATCTGTATGTGTGTGCAGCCAATGCTAACTCCTTAGCAAAACATGCGCACATACTTACAGCTCATCACAGAGTGGACACTGAACTGTTAACACCTAGAGTTTGACGTTACGTGAGCAAAACAGCGTGGCTGGATGATCAAATACAGACTAATCGATCCTGTATTTTCAGTTAATCACATCGTAGCACCACAGCGTCACACACTGACAGGCTCCCCGTTTGTGTTTATTTTGCTTGCCTGGCTAGGGCAGGAACGACGTGTGCCTGTAACGTTCCCGATTCAACCACGCCACTTTCGTTGTTTTTTAAAATATGGATAAAGGACTGTATGAAATTGTGATATATTAAAGTTATATGCACATATGTGTTATATTATGATATGCATCCGCCTGCTCTTAGTTTATTCTTTAAAACGACCAATACAAATATCGAAAGTGCAGCCGCTGAACAGGGCGTTTGTTACGGGAGCGACGTCACATCTCAATGTCGGCGTACACAAACACTCTCCAGTGCAGGTAACGATTAACTCGTTTTCAGCCAATCTGAATGTTTCCACTACCGTTGTGTTAGTCACATTTGTTCACTGTGAGATCATTTAATTCAAGAGTTGGTTGCGTTCGGTTTTGTGTAAAATACTGTGCTGAGACGACAAACTAGATCATATAACCAGCTCAGTTTAATTGCGATAAGTAACGTTACTGTAATAAAATATATGTGATTAGGTCAAGATAAGCTTTAAACTCGTGTTGTAAGCAGTCACACATTGAAGAAATCGGTGCATGCAGAAACATTTAGCACAAATATACCACTATATTTTGTGGTTTATTCCCTTGCCATTAAATTACAGAAACTAAGAAACGCTGATCTGTGGCTGTTCCTAATACTATGGCTGAGGGCGTGACAGCAATTGTGACATGTTTCTCTCTTCTGGCTAACGTAATTCATCTCTAAATTTCTCTTCCTCTTCTGGACAGTCACAGAAATGCTATTGTGGATTGTTTTTGTTCAAATAGGAAGGCAAAAATTATATTTGTTGTGGTTTTCGTCCACCACTATAGAAGTTTACCCAGCTATGTCGATTTCCGCTTCTGAGAAGCCCAGAAATGTGAAAACTTGGATGTTTATTTATTTAGTCATTTAGCAGATGCTTTTATCCAAAGCGACTTACAAATGAGGACAACAGAAGCAATCAATTGTAGTATTAAAACAACTAAAACAAAACTAAAAGCTAAAACTTTATAAATACTACCTATACACATTTTAAAAATAAAGAAATTAAATAAAAATGACAAATGCATACAGCAAAATGTCAAAACTTAACATTTAAATGAAAAACAAAAAATAAAGCTAAAAACAATTCAAAATATATAAGAGTAGGTATAAAAAATAGGTATAAAAAAGGTATAAGAGTATAATAATGATTCTAACATAACACTAAGCCAAACACCAAAAAAAAACAACTACACGTGTATGTACAGCCACACACACATACATGTATACTGTATATGTACATACACATTTATAAATTCAATATATATATTATTTCATTTCCATTTAGTTTGTTGAATTATTAAAATAACTCAAATGAAATCAAACTAAAACTTAATAAAAGACCTATACAGACATAATAAATTCAGACATAATTTAACTAAAATTTAAATAAATAACAAATACAAATCAAACGACATGCTAATGCTTACATGCTAAAAAACAACAACTTACTTACACATAGTAAGAAATGGTTAAACATGATGAAACAGAAGTGAAACAAGTAATAGGAAAGAGGAGAAATAAAAACCTTATCCTTATCCTTTGCCGGTGTCCCTGCCCGGATGTATCATGTTTTAGTTATTGACATGGCATTACATGACAATAGCTGACATTCACATGTGTCATTTGTCCACACATCCTCCTGAGTGTGTGGAATGGCAATCTCTATTGCAATCCTAGACTGTGACCTGCTGCTGCATGGCCGTGGGCACAAAACACTTGATCGATTTGATATCGAGACAGTGTCAGATGAATTCCTGCTGACAACATTTGGCTTCCCACGTGAGTTCATTTATTATCTGGTGGAACTGCTAAAGGACAGCTTGTTGAGACGGACACAGAGGTCACGAGCCATAAGCCCAGATGTTCAGATACTCGCAGCCCTGGGATTCTACACAACCGGGTCCTTCCAGAGCAAGATGGGCGATGCGATCGGCATCAGCCAGGCCTCCATGAGTCGTTGTGTTTCTAACGTCACTAAAGCTCTGATTGAGAAAGCACCAGAGTTTATTGGCTTCACTAGGGATGAGGCCACCAGGCAGCAGTCTAAAGAGGAGTTTTACCGAATAGCAGGAATTCCTAATATCATGGGAGTAGTGGACTGTGCACATATAGCCATTAAAGCTCCCAATGCAGACGACTCTTCCTATGTAAATAAAAAAGGATTTCACTCAATCAATTGCCAATTAGTATGTGATGCCAGAGGACTGCTGCTGAGTGCTGAGACACATTGGCCAGGTAGTCTGACAGATAGAACTGTCTTTAAGCAATCCAGTGTGGCAAAGCTTTTTGAAGAGCAAGACAATGACGAAGGTTGGCTTTTAGGTGAGAACCATAGTTTGGTTGCCATAGTGACTTTTTCTTGACATTGCCAAAGTATCCTGTGAAAATGTCAGTGTATTTTCGGTCTCTTGTCTCCAGGTGACAACCGTTACCCTCTGAAGAAGTGGCTGATGACTCCAGTCCAGAGTCCAGAGTCCCCTGCTGAGTACCGCTATAACCTGGCCCACACAACGACGCATGAGATTGTGGACCGCACATTCAGAGCCATTCAGACACGTTTCCGGTGTCTGGATGGGGCAAAAGGTTACCTGCAGTATTCTCCAGAGAAATGCTCCCATATCATCCAAGCCTGCTGTGTACTACATAACATTTCCCTGCAGTCTGGCCTTGATGCCTGGACTTTTGAGAGGACTGAGGCCACGGACCAATCAGGGGAGAATATCGATCTCAATGACACTGTCGACCCAGAGGCTCTCAGAGTTCGACAGGAACTCATCCAAAATCATTTCAGTTAGGATGGAATTCACCATTTAATTGTTTTAAAGATACACATTGTTATTGTTTTCCTGTATGCAAACATTTTGTTCAGGGATGGTCCCTCCCCCAAAAAACATTCTGTCATTTAATCATAATTTAACATTTTACTTGTTTCAAACTCATCTTTCTTCTGTGGAAAACAAAAGATGATATTTTGACGTTTTAATTGATTTCATTGTATGGACAAAAGTAAGTAAACAAATAAATAAAAAAGTGTTTAAAAAAACACTGAGATGTTTCTCAAAATATCATCTTAATGTTCTACAGAAAAGTCAAAAGAAAGTCAAAGTTTTGGAATGACTAAGGGAATTTTTGGGTGAATTATCCCTTTATGAATGTGCTTTTTGTCACTCTTTATTGGTCCTAATGAACACAAAAAACTGCAAAGCTGGAGTTTTTTTATTTTATTATTATTTACAAGTAATTTAGGAATGAGATATGGAAATGGACAGGGTATTTTATTACAAGTTATTGTCATTTTAATTGAGTTCTTTTTGATATTTTACTCAAAAGTATAGACCTGTAAAATGTTGACATCAATAAATAACACCTCAACAATAGTTGTCTGTTTATATCTCTGTCACGTGCATTATTTGTTTCAAAACTTAAGTTCCACAGGAACAAATGACTTTCCAAACAAGGCAAACCTCTTGCTGGTTATTTATGAACTCAGCTTCATTCACATTGTTAATTTTGTTCAGTTCATATCATCAGAAACACTTACCTACTAAGAGTATCTTCCTCAAAGATCTCTACTGATGCTCTGTAATCTAAGTAAAAGATATATCAGGGCAAAAATAAAAAGCTTTAATTTTAGCCCGGGTTAATGAATGGTTCTGTCTCTGCTGCTCCGGAGGCTCGACTGTCAAAGGCGATAAATCAGCTGGTCGTTTAATGAGTCTCGCAGTCGAGGCCGGTGATGAATGTGGAAAAAGAAGAGAGACCACGCTGAACAATGACGTGCTGTCCGCAGTCTCTCTCTCTCTCTCTGTGTGTGTGTGTGTGTGTGTGTGTCTGTGTGTGTCTGTGTGTGTGTGTGTGTGCGCGCGCGCGCTATTTCTAATGTCATTACTAAAAGCAGACAGACTGAGAGCGCAGAAGCAGCAGAGGCTGCAGCATATGAACTCCACAAGAGTCTCCACTGGAACACAATGATATAGATTCAAGCACTGTTCGCACTTTTAACAACTTTCGTGAGCAAAGTAAGTATTTCTGGGGAACTTTGTTTCATTCTTTAACACAGTGCCTTGTATTTTAACTTTGTATTATACTCAGAGTTGCATCTCTGCTCTGCCGCATTTATCTATCATCTTTAGCGTAGCGGAAGCGCAGTCAAGCTTAACCCGAGAAAAAGCACCTGTTACTAACAGTAGCTCTGGTCGTTTATTTGGCCTGACCCCACGAGTGTTATTATAATATTCAGATATAATATTATCCACAGTGATCATGTCAGAATCTGTACGGAAGATGTTGAGGGCGAAGCTTGTGGTGCTGGGAAGAGATAACTGTGGGAAGACAGGTAACACTGCAGTGTTTTTTCGGGGTTAATGACTATTGGTTGGTCTTGATGACTAATTGATCTGTTTTTCTCTTTTGAACTCCAGCTCTGTGTGTCAGATTCATCACCAGACGTTTCATTGGAGAGTATGAACATAAAAGGGGTAACACAAGTGAAATACATACACAGTGGTGCTGTAAAGCTGTTTTCACGCTCTAAATATTTGTGTATCTGCATTTTATTCATAAATTCATAAGTAATCTGAATCATGTGACATGCCATATACTTTTTGTGTCTCTTAGAGGTCACCTACAGGTGTCAGAAAATCGTGGACAAGGAGGCGATTGAACTGGAGATTTTAGACACAGTTAATAAGGTACAGAATGCCTGAGATTAGATCTGACAGTATGTTGTGTTGTATTTTGGCTCTTACCTATTAAGGGACCATCTCTTTGTCACTGTACATCTGCTGCTGTGCTGTTTTACAGGCCTATTGTTCCGTAGACTCAAAGAAAGACAGCAGGATGATCTTGCCTGGTCAAACAGCTGATGAGACACAGGACTCTCTGAACCATTCCATTCCTTTCATGTCTGCTGTGCTGAATCTCAGGCTGGTGGAGCAGCTTTAACAGCCCGCCTGCCATTGATCGTGTTACACAGTAGAGCAGCACTTGTTAATTCATAGGATTAGGCTGAAGCTTTACCGTCTGTGTAAATGCAGTAGAGTAGCGGTTCTGATATTTTGGAGGACTTTGATACACCCAGTTTAGGTCTTGGAGCCTGTACAAATGAGCTGATGATATAAATCAGGTGTGGGTAAAAGGATAGTTTATCAGAAATGAAAATTGTCATAATTTACTCACCATCATGCCGATCCAGCCCTGTATGACTTTCTTTCCTTTGCAGAACACAAAAGAATGTTTCTGTCATTACATTGAAACACTGAATGTCAGTGGTGTTTCATTTTTGGGAAAACTATCCTTTTAAATAATGGAGACATCCAAAATGTGCAGTGCTTCGACTTGAGATCCAGGATTGAGAACCACTGAATTTGAGAAGCAGGAGGTTTTGGGTCTATGGATTTAATTTACAGCCTTTGTGCTCCTGAATTGCCTTAAGAATCACATCTGTGAAAGTCTAGATGCACGTCACCTCCATCCTCACAGATCCGCACACATTCACTCACGTGCAGCAGATGAAGAACTACTCATATGTGTGAATCTGTTTGTTTCCAGGAATGTGCAGGACCTGCTGCGTCGTCTCTGGAGAGTTCCATTAAATGGGGTGATGGGTTTCTCATCATGTACTCTGTGACGGATCGCAGCAGTTTTGAGGCTGTGTCGCGCCTGAAGAGACTGATTGACCACATTAAACAAACGCTTGGTAAGACCATTCAGATTGTGGATGTGAATGATCACAAACTAAGGAGAAATAGTAACACTGTTCTGCTATTAGCGCTACTGCTAGCAGTCTTGTTTATGAATATGGTCCCTCCAACTAGCAAATAGCGCTGTTATCCACCAGTGTGACTCAGCCTGCCTTAATTGGTCTCAGTTCAGAGATTTCACCTCAGGCATGAACTCTTAATATAGTACACTGCAGCGTGTGAGTGTAAATTTGTAAATGACAGATAGATTACAACTCTGCAGTATTTTATTATACCATCCATCTCCAGGTACTGTCATTTTAATGGCAGTCTGTTCTTTGTCAGAGCTACAGCATCCATTACATCATTCTGTGTCTTTGTGTGTGTGTATACGTGTCTTATTCCAGGTATTCCAACAGTCATCGTTGCCAACAAATGCGACGTGGAGAATGGCCGAGTGGTGAGGACAGATGAGGGACAGGCATTAGCATCAGACCTGAGGTCAGTGCGCTTTATTTCTACTGATAACTGCACAGTTGTAAGTGATAGTATGAAGTACATACAAATATAGGTTAATTTAACTGAATTGTTTAACCCTAAGATGCATAAAGGAGGTCCGATTTACCCAGTAGGGTGTGGTTTTTGGAATATTTTTTCCATTGCAGTTTTCATTATTATTATTAATAATAATATTTATTATTGTTATTATTATTTTTTATCAAATTATACAAATTAACTCAATAAAGAAATACCACTATAATACTATTGAACTGTAAACTATTTCATAATAATAATTGATTTGATATAAAATAATGACAATAATAGTTATTATTTATATAACAACAGTACAATTACAATATTTATTATATCAATATTTACTAATATTTATGTGTTTTTTTCTTTGCTCTGGTGAAAATATAAAGCTTTTATTTTGGCAGGAAAGCACAGGGGAACCTTTCTTTTGAAATGCTTCTCTTTTTTTGACAACAGATTTATAAAGCATTCTCATTACAAGCTTTGGAAGATGTTTAGTGCATGTTGCATTTTCAAATGCATGTTATAAGCTCAAATAAATGTATATATTACATATAAATCTTGTATGTAAGCATCAGCCATGCCATTTATATATGTTTTGGACATAAGTTCTTTGAAAAAAACAACTTGTTTTTGGTCAAAATAATATTTTGTTAATAATATTTAATAATATTATCAGTCAATATTAATGAATATTATTTATTTATAATGTATTCATATATTTAATTACAATTCATTGCTTTACACTCCATTATCCATCCTAATAAAAAAATAGATTTCATCACTACCAGTCAAAAGTTTGAACGCACTTCGATGATCTTCAGTTTGATTTAAATGCCTTCATTATAACATTTAATATTTGAATTGGAAGGTTTTGCTGTGTGTGCTAAAGGTAGGGTTTCACTGCTGATGTAGGTGCAGTTTCTTTGAGCTGTCTGTAGCAGAGGACGCTTCAGCAGTGGAGGCCGCGTTCGGGCAGCTGCTGCGTGAAGTGCGTCAGGAGTTTCTGCGTCACCTGCTGGCTATGGACAAGCGCTCACGAATGCTGCAGATGAGACATGCACTCAAAAACAAACTCACACGGAGTAAAACCATGCAGTGGTGATGACCAGAAAGACTAAACGCAGTTCAGACATGACAACCATAGTGCTGTATCCTGTAACCTTTTAGAGAACAACAAGTGCCTTTTGGATTTCCAAATACTGTCATGGACATTGTCACCTGTGTGTCCAGCAAAAAGTAGTGTGTTTTTTAAAGGTGCAGTGTGCAATTTATGTGCCACTGGCAGGAACAAACTGAATTGTGAAAATAATGACTTAAAACACTCCCTTCCATTGTCTGGACAAACAGGTAGTCTCACCTCACACTTTTGCAGCTGATTGAGCCAGAAGCTGACATGTGTGATAAATGGTTGATAATCTACAGCAGGAGTGTCAGACTCAATTCCTGGAGCCCTGCAGAGTTTAGATTCAACCCTAATTAAACACACCTAATCATAAAACAAGTTTACCAAATAAGCCAGGCTTATTTCAGTTAGTCTGACTTATTTTCACTTGATTTGGTTTCATAAAGCAAAATTACCATATAGCTCAAGCTCAGTCACTCTGGCAACTTATGCTGGGAATTTAACCTGGTCCCGGGCAGGCTAACTGTCAGGCTAAGCTGAGCTCCTCTAACACTGACCAATAGGAACGCATTGATATTATGGCGCTGACTCTCTCACATACAATTATTTGACTTTATTATCAGTCCAAAAATAAAAGTATACAGAAAATGCAACTTAAATAAATCAAAATATATAGGCTATATATAGGATTTAATGATTTTGTTTGAAGATATTTAAAAACATTTTAACATGCTGCTACATGCGCATTCAGTTGATCAGCAGTTTCTAGCCATGCAGCCTTTCTCTCTGGTTTTATGACTGCTGTACCTTATGGTTATTAGAAGAACATTAAAACATTACAATATAAAATTGCTCTTTAAAGCATTAAAAACACTAAATTAAAAGTTCAAATCACTAAATTAAAAATGAAAATAAATAATATAAAACAGACTATATTTTATGTGTTAAGAGGAATAACTCATTTGAGCTAGTAATTAGGGCTGTATTAGCTTACATTGATTTACAGTTACTGCTATCATAAAAATACACTTATATGTAGGATTAAAAGTCTACATGTCACATTTAATGTCCAACAACAAATATTTGAGCAGAATGCATATTTTATTCAGAATTATTGCGCTATTATTCTATTGCGTTCCATCTGTTTAGCGCGCATGCGTGCAGCAGCGCTCGTTCACTCACGCAAGCCTCGCCCGCTCCTGACAGCAAAATGGATTTGCATGACTTTCTAACATCTACAGATGAAAAATATACCTGTGACGTGTCAGTTATGCGCTGAGGCAAACACAATGTCTCAAATGCAGTAAACATCACAAATATTCGCTGTTTGTCATGGTGGATCGATTTGATCCATGGTCGGCATTAAGGGCTGCTTAAGAATAAGCGAGCACATCAAATTATCCTGACTCATTGAACCTGGATCGAATTAGAGAGATTGCGTGAATCTAAATGGTCGTTTATGAAACCGCTTTAGTCCCGATTGATTTGTTTGGTTATTTCAAGTCAGGTTTTGGACTTTAATCCCCGCTTTTTTTCGCGTCTTTTATGAAACAGCCCCCTGATCCAACTAATCAAGTCCTTCTGACTTGATTGAAAACTACATCAGAATCAGAATCAGCTTTATTGCCAGGTATGTTTTCACATACGAGGAATTTGTTTTCGTGACAAAAGCTTCCACAGTGTAACAGAATGACAGTGACAGAACAAAAACACAGATAATAAAAGAATTAAAAAAATAGAACAAGTAAATAAGTAATAACAATATATAAATTGACAATTGTATGTGCAGGTATATTACAATAGACAGTTGTGTATGTACAGGTATATTATGTGCAAATTTGAAGTGTAGACTAAGTATGCGTGTTAGATAAATAAGTGTATGGGTGTATGAATAGTGTTGTGTGTTCCACAGTTATTGTCATGTTCATGAGATGGATTGCCTGAGGGATGCCTGGTATGTGTGTTGGAACCGTTTTTATACAGTCTATGGTTGGAACAAAACTCTGCAGGGCTTCGGCCCTCAAGGGATTGAGTTACACCATCCTGCTCGAAGTCAACCACTCCGTGCACCTTTAAACCAGTTTAAGAGAAAGTACTTTAACATTTAAAATGGATCCAATTGACCACTTGAGCTCAGTTGACCTCTTCCTTTGCATCAATTTCACTGTAAATTGTCATTCCGATGCAACATTCATTATGTATTTAAACTGCACTTTTGTGTGAGAAGTCATACATGCTTATTTAAAGGCACCGAATTCTTTCTGATACTGAGCTTGTCTAATATTAAGTCAAGCTTAAAATGGCAGATGATGCGCCATGTGGCAGATGATCTGTCTTCCGACTTGGTATTTTGATGCTCTTTTGATCCAATTTCATTTTCACGTGCCTCTATTAGATTGAAATATCATGAGGGAACAGAACCAAATATATGGTGTTTTTCTGTTTTACACAGCTGTTTTTAGACTTCCTGCGTCCTGGCAGTGTGCACAATCCACTCTGTGGAGAAAATGGGTTACAGGACATTGTATCCTAATGCTAAATGTTGTATTATTACTTGTGTTGTTTAAATGTTAATTAGAATCATGTGTGTTGGAACCGTTTTTATACAGTCTATGGTTGGAACAAAACTCTGCAGGGCTTCGGCCCTCAAGGGATTGAGTTACACCATCCTGCTCGAAGTCAACCACTCCGAGCACCTTTAAACCAGTTTAAGAGAAAGTACTTTAACATTTAAAATGGATCCAATTGACCACTTGAGCTCAGTTTACCTCTTCCTTTGCATCAATTTCACTGTAAATTGTCATTCCGATGCAACATTCATTATGTATTTAAACTGCATTTTTGTGTGAGAAGTCATACATGCTTATTTAAAGGCACCGAATTCTTTCTGATACTGAGCTTGTCTAATATTAAGTCAAGCTTAAAATGGCAGATGATGCGCCATGTGGCAGATGATCTGTCTTCTGACTTGGTATTTTGATGCTCTTTTGATCCAATTTCATTTTCATGTGCCTCTATTAGATTGAAATATCATGAGGGAACAGAACCAAATATATGGTGTTTTTCTGTTTTACACAGCTGTTTTTAGACTTCCTGCGTCCTGGCAGTGTGCACAATCCACTCTGTGGAGAAAATTGTTTCCAAAATGGGTTACAGGACATTGTATCCTAATGCTAAATGTTGTATTATTACTTGTGTTGTTTAAATGTTAATTAGAATGACCGTGTTAATATTCATTTGCTGCTTTAATGTAAAGCAGATCTTAGAGAGAAAAACAGACTGTTTAATTTACAATTTTATTTAGCAAAAATGGTAAAAATAAATAAATACAAATTGATCAAATGCTCCAGTAATATCAGCCTCCTCAACAAAAAGAATTCATTAAGTTATATATTCAAATAACTTACACATGGACTTCTATGAGAAAAGGTAAACGGACATCAGGCAACACACAAGATTAAGAAACAAAACATACAAAATGTAGAAAAGTAAAATGAAACAAAAGAGCAATACACATCCCTTTTAAAAACTATTATGAAAGAATCTAGACTTTTTTTTTTTTTTTTTTTTTTTTTTTTTTTTTTTTTTTTTTACAACAAACTGAAGTAAATTGTGTTCTTAATTTATAGTTAAGGACATTAGATTAAGCACTGATATTTTCACATTGCAATAATCTATCCTTGATTTTACTTAAGGGTTTCATCAACCTGAATGAGGTAACAGCATGAGGTGTAAGAACGTGAATCTTCAAAAACATTACTATGCGTATCTTGAAAACATGAACAAAAAGCCTGAGCTCTCGGTAAACACTATTAATATCTGAAGAGATCAGATTTCACACACTTCAGGACACAATACCCAATTCTCATGTGTAAGGAACATGAATGAGGAGACACAGTAGACTCCCATCTATCTCATCAGAGAACATCTGTCACCGAAGCACTGTCAGTCCTACTAACCACATCTGGGCCTCAGGATTCTTGGCCCCTAAAGGATGGGAGATGACATTTGCAAATGTCACATCTGATGAGCATTTACGTAAGGGCTATTTTCCCTTTGCTTTCTTTTTTCAATGCACTACAAAATCTGACATACCATTAAACCACCAAACAGAACGCAGCTTCTTTACGTCACTTTGGAATTTTTGCAATTGTGATGAAATAGGTTTTAGTATTAACTTCTATCAGACAATACTTCTGCGATTGTTGAAAACTCGTGAAAACGCAGATGCGATATAAAATGAGGGGCAGATACCCAGATCATCAGCCTGGGATAGAATGGTTTAACTAAAAGTAAAGTGTTTTCATAAACATACCAGCAAATTATTTTATGTTTTGATATAAGGTGTAAGAGTTCTTATGAGTAGTGGTCAGACTCACTATAGGCAGCGCAGGCACTGTCTTCACTAACACAACCTGAATGATCACACACTGGATGATAAAGTAGGTTGTTTCCGAAAAGGGAAAAATACACACACGTTGTGCTGACAACTGACTCTAAGACACCGACAAGTCATAACACTACGATGAAACAGCCTAACATAGTCTATAGAACTTAAGGCAACCAATACACAGAGGCTACAGCAGGCCAGAGCTGCATGTTCAGCATTGAAAACCCTCACAAACCTGAAATGAAGATATAAACACTGTAGATATTTCTGTCTTTTATCAAAAGTGTGTTTGACACCACTGTGCTTCTGGATTATTTCTTGTGCTTTTTTCTTGGGGAAAAAAAAAACACTGGAAGTGTCGTCTTGGCACATGATACAGTGTTCAAGCTACGGCTGCTGCATCTCAGATGTTAGAACTGGTCTGGTGTGTTTGTCTGTGCATGTTCATGTGCAGTCACACACTGTGAAATGCACAGCGGTGAGAGCATCGTGAGCTCTGATACGGTTAGAGAAATGCAAAAGGTAAATAAAGGGATAACAGAAGAGCCCCTAAAAGACCATGGTAAAGTAGTTGCGCTAGGCACGTATAACGTACGCCTGCTGTGTTGTGCTTTTGGAGAGGTTTACAGAACCGTGTAGTAAAGTGTGTTAAAATGATACAGAACAGAAGCCCTTAAATTGGCCCATAAGCGTAACGTTACTGGCATAGCGGTTTTATGGGATATTTCTGACTGCATGATTCCTCCCAAGTCGTTGGACAAGGCATGAGACCCCCTGCTACAGTCTGGGTAAATAAAAAATCCTCTGAATGTGAAAATGGAGTGAGAGTGATGTGAGAGACATCTCAAATCATTCCCTTCTGTGACGGCGCCTGAACTGCGCTCTCAATAAATCACATCTGTTCAGTAGATAAGGCATGGTCAGAATTTACCTCACAGACCTCACTTCAGGACTGACACTACAAATACTATTCTACTATTAAATATCTATCTAATGTTCCGAGTAACGTAAAAGAACAGTTCCCTGTGGCATCGATTATTTGGCAGAACAGAATTACGGAATATTTTTGTAAGAAAGAAGAAAACGATAAATAAGGTCATATGTAAAAAATAGCAAAACATATTTACAGAAATGTTTCGGTTTTTCAAAAACACCACAAAATAGACAAATGCAAATGAAAATAGTTAAACCTCCAGAAGAACGCCTGGAAGACCTGTATTTCTGTCAGTGTGTGACAAAGAACCTGTTTTTGCGCTCCATGTTCTGCCCTGGAGACACAACAACTGAAAACTAGATGAAACAACTGCACCTCAGTTGTGTTTCACAGACAAAACGGACACTGAACTCCTCAACACGTCATATCTTATGTCTCAGATCAGAGCTACAGGACCTGATAGGAAGCTGCACTACTCATCTAGCAGGACGAGACCTTCACCCCGATCCAGCCTTCAGAAGCTTTCCCACTCAGAGGTGCTATGGCAACTGTATCAGGCACACAATGGTGTGATATCTTTAAATTTTATTACTCTTTTCTATATCATTATTCTTTGTAGAAATCTTTTCGGTGTGCATACGTGAGCATACACATTGCTGGTACTTTAGGAACCTCCTTCCTGCATGTAGTAAATGGCACTATGGATTTTCTTTCCCTCATAGATACAAGAGATGAAACAACAACACAAAACAACAACACTGTTAACTGGCACGCTTTGGGCCCCAACTGTGGCGTGGTAGTCGATGCTATTTCACCCCCTCTGTCACTTCTGTAAGGGGCATGATTGAGCCGAGGAGGGCCTGTGGGATGACGCTGAGGTCTTTGTTGTTTTTATGTTTTTTTGTATTCTCCTCCCCTGTGGACACAGTTCCATTGGTACTGAGAACCGCCTGGTTGCTGCTGTTATTGCTGAAGGCTGCGGCATTTATATTTGTGGGTTCGCCCTTGATTCTGGACGTGCTGTTGATTTGAGCGCTCTCCCCTCTGCCCTCTTCGCTCTTTGCACCGGCAGCCTCTGGGTTGTTATTCGTGGCGATCTGCTTTAAGGTATCGCTCGTGTTTGTGAGAGTGCTAATTATCATCGTCGCTTCTGAGGAGCTTGTTGGGGTATTTGTGTTGTTGTTTGTGTCTGTGGTGACCGCACTGGATTTGGAAGCTCCATTGTGGGAGGTTTCTCCATTAGCCATGACCTCAGGGCAGATGAAGGGAGACAACTGGATCCCTCTGATCAGATGCACCAGCCCTCTCGTTTTCTCAAGCGAAGCCTCCATCTCTCTCTGCTGGGCCAGTACGCTGTTCTTGCCGTCCACACAGCTCTGTGCAGGGAGAGAGGACACAGTGCTGCTGACTCATACAACCAAAATCTCATCATTATATAGTTAGTGGCCTTCTGGAGGTACGGAATAATAAATGAATGCATCGGTTTGATTTGTAATTTTGGTGGTATGACTCATCGTGCAGACAAAAGTGGATATGAACTTAAGAATTCTCTCACCGTTATAGAGTCGCTGAGCTGTCCGATTCTGTGCTCCAGCGTCTCTCTTTCCTGCTGCAGCTCTGTGCTCCATCTCTTCAGACGATCTTTCTCTCCCTCTTTAGCTGCAGGGAAATGAGTGTACGTTTAAATCTCTAAAGAATGCACAGGTTGGGTTCTGGAAGTAAAAATCTCATTAATTTTCCTCATAGAGAAATCAATTTTTAACAATTCTGTAGAACCCTTTTGAAACGGATCTGCCATGAGAGCAGAGGTTAGTAATCAATTGTGGAGGCTTTTGTTGGAGCCAACAGTCAGCATTTAAGGCACTTATGACACATTTAAGATGCATGTTCTTGAAAGAGCTAGGTTTTCTAGCATATTTACTTCAAATGCTTCAATCTTCATATTTACAAGTAGGCTACTTTCTACGGTGCCTGTGTTTGTTTTTATTGCAACATTTTGTATCTTTAAAGGGAGGTATGAAAGTCAAAGCAAATCGAACACTGAGACAAATATAATAAAATGTATAAAAAAAATCAAATACCATTATCATCTTGATAAGATATAGCATATTATACTTCTGTCCTTGTGTCTCATTGTATTTCAAAGTGGTATATTGTACTACCATTATTATTTGATTACATAATTTGCAACGCTTCAAAAGTTCATGTAGTTCATAAAGAGAAGTTAAGTGCACAGCCTAGAACTTTCGTCTATACTCCTGATTGTCTTATACTTTTCTGCTTTTTTCAAAGTGTGCAACTTTGAAAAGCGTGGTTCATCTCAGAGCTGGTTGGTTTGGTTCATGACTTGAAGAATTAGGGTGTGTTCACACTTGGTGTCTTTTTCACAAGAAAAAGTTGACAAGGGCGTTTTTAGTAAAAAAAAATAAAAAAAATAATGTTTGGTTACACATAGCAGCCGACGAGGGTGTCTTTTGTTGCTATAACAACAGCTGCAACAGTAGCCTAAGTTGGCTCTTGCGTTGACTTTTGAAGTTAACGGGGAGGAGAGTGTCAGTTCACAATGACGTTTGTGGGTGCACGATATTATACGGGAAGGAAACAGTATGATGTGTATTATGACAGAGTTTTGTGCTCATATCATGCAACTCCTTGTGCTCCGAAACTAGTACGATAAGTCTATCTACCGGCACCTTTTTTCTTGTTGTTATTGTTGTTATGGAAACGACTGGTCTTGCTACTCGCTTGTCATTGGTCAGCTGTCAAAAAGGAGCTTGATGTAGGGCAGGTTTTATTTTTCTTCAGAAAAGTTTAAAGGGGTGGTTCACTGGTTTTTTTTATAGGCTTGATTGTGTTTATGGGGTGCAGTCTAACATGTGTTAATGCTTCGTTTGTTAAAAAAACGCATTATGTTTCACATAATTTACCTTTATTTCATTTTTTCTTCAGAAAAGTTTAAAGGGGTGGTTCACTGGTTTTTTTATAGGCTTGATTGTGTTTATGGGGTGCAGTCTAACATGTGTTAATGCTTTGTTTGTTAAAAAAACGCATTATGTTTCACATAATTTACCTTTATTTCACACCTCTCAGTCCCTTCTCCTCTGAACGCTCTGATCATTTCCTGCTTTTATGAAGCCCCTCCCTCAGAAATACACGATGGGCTCTGATTGGTTAGCTAGCCCAGTGTGTTGTGATTGGCTAAACCCCCTCTAGTGCACGTCTAATCGTCCCGCCCCTCACCTCAGCAGCATGTGCTCTGGTTGTATTGTAAACAATGACGTCGTCTATATTGCTTAACAGTTTGAGCCCGATTGAGAAGCAGAGGATATTATTGAAGAGGATCGCGCAGAACCTGGTAGGCCTCAGATTTTTGTTTGTTGTTGTCTCATACTTTTAGATACACTGGTATTTGTAAATGCTACTGCTTCTGTTAGCTTTTAATATATGGTTTTATTTCGTTTTTGTAGGCATTAAACTGCCAGAATTTTAAAAGAAGATATCTCCGTTTGCATTGAACTTTCAGCTTCGTAACTTTGCAGATATTGTTTATGATCAAACAGCAACATTACACACTAACTAACATTAAAAAAGTGAAATCGCAATCAACCACCCCTTTAACTTTTTTTCAACTTGAAAAGACGCTGTGAGCTGCAGAAAAAAAAGCCGGCGGTGGCGTTTAAAAAAGCGCTCATGACTTTTTGGAAAACACGGTTTACTCCATAGGATTATAATGTAAAACAGACACTGGCAGCTTCAAAAAAGACACCAAGTGTGAACACAGCCTAAAGTCAATTCCAAAGATCACAGGTTTACTGATGCATTTCAAAAGAACCTCATAACAAGAGACCAATTTAAACTCCTAACTATATATTTAAGCTTACATAACCATTCTGTGTCACTGCAGGTTCACTGTTCTAGACAGCATTAGTTATATGTGAAACTCCTCACCTGCTTTATAGGAGATGTAGGAATGGACAATAGCAAGAGTCCCTGGCCACTCAATGGCATCTTCCTTCTGCAGAATCTGAAGAAAACATGTAACTGAATGATACTGAAATACACAATTGTTCACGGTCTGCATTGCATTCAAAGTAATACACACAAAAACACAAACGCACATAAACAAACACACAAAAACATAAACATTAATGTGGAAATGAACTTAAAATAGTGAAATCAAATGAAGTGGAAAGAAATGAGGCTACCTAAACTTTCAAAGTTTGGAGCAGTCTTGATGTAAATTTCTGGTTTTTAATATTTGGAATAAATATTAGGTCCTGCATCAATTTCTTCCAACTTCAGAGGTCTTAAGCAGCAGAACTGTGGGCTCGTGCCTCTGGTTTTGGCGTTTTAGGCAGAGCTGCATGACGCCCAGATGATTAGCAAGTATCACATATGACTGTATTATATTATATGACACATATAACCACTAAATACTGACTCGTCAGTCAAAACCTCATGCTTATAGTCTCTATTCCATCTAAATTGAGCTTGTTTTTAAACAGAACATTTTTGGTTGGTTTGAGTAAAATAGTGGCCTCTTTGTCCTCAATTTCATCAAATTTTGCTCTGAAATTACAATGCCATTCATATTAAAAGTCTCTGTATTGAAAGAATATAACCTGAACGATTTAAATTAACTCTGTAAAGATTGTCTGCTTTGTAAGACCAGTGACAAAAGTGAAACGTGACATGGCATGGTACAAAAAATGAAATGATTAACGATAGTGAGAGTGAACGGCAATGAATCTCTCAGTTACCTGAGACTCTTAATTCACCTCCGCTACCACTAGATGTCGCTGGTGAGCACGGTGAACAGTGGGATAGGGAAGTCTGAATTGTCTCAGTAACTGTAGTGGACTATCACAGTTACTTACATCCCCTGCTGAGTTGGGGCTGGGTGAGGGTGAATGAGATGGAAAGGTGAGTGAGAGAGCAGGGGAGAATGGGCTGCCCGCAGTGGGCCGCTGTAGGTCTGGGGAGGTAGAATGATGGCTGCTGGTGGTTGGGGGGAGGGGCCCCCGCTCCACAATACTGCAGTTTTTAGAAAGGCGACCTGGGTGAGATGAAACAAAGGACAAACAAAACACAAAAGAAAAGAAAAAGAAAAGGAAGACAAAACATTGGTGTAGCATACCTCTGACAAGCTGTCCTCATTGGCTAGGGTAGCAGGAAGGAGCAGACGGGGGTGGTGTGACGGTGGTTGGGAGGGAGAGAGCAACGTTAGATCACAAAAGGAAGCATTGCATGCTGGGTAACAACACATTCTGCAAAAGCTGGCCTTAGATCAGTTGATAAAGGCAGAAGGCATTATATTTAGGCAGATGGGGATAAGAAATGCCAATAACAAAGAACGATCAGAGGGCAATGATTCAAAGAAGCTTATCAGGCATCAAGAAGCTTATTTTCATCTACAGCTAACACAGATGCTGTCAAATGTTAAGACGAGCCTTTAAGTGAATATGCAGCATCATATATCAACAGAGATTGCACATTCATGTGTTCACTGGGCATTAACAGAACAAGTTCTTTATTAACAAGTACTAATAGCACTATTATATTACACAGGGTAGCAAAGTTTCAACATCATATATATATAAAAAATAATAAAGTATTATTGTTTTAAATTAGCTCTATTCATTTTACACATAAACCCAAGTCAAGAGCTAAATTCAACTAAACAATATGACTTGGTCCCAAATGTGTTAGAGATCTATTTAAGAAGTCCAAAACAGGAACAGTTCCTTTAGCTTCTCAACAAACACTACTACTGGAGGAGGAGGCTTTTAATCAGCCTTCAAACAAATATATTAACTACAGGTTTTAAAAGAGACAGGAACTTTTTAATCCAAAAATAACAAAAAGCATAATTTTGGCTCTACTGCAAGTTATTCTGATCACATTAATACTCACAAACTTCACTTTTGACAGATATTTGTCTCAAGCCACATTTTCGTGCTCACAGCTTCAGTTCTTTCAGGGACAGTTTACCGTAAGATGAAAACTCATTTGCTCACCCTCATGTTAAAAGAAGATATTTTGAAGAATGTCTTTTTTTGTCCATACATTTAAAGTCAGTGGCGTCCAATGTTGTTTAAGACTCGGAGTTTCCATTATACGGACAAGAACAATCAACAAAATATCTTATAGAAAGAAAGTAAGTCATACAGGTTTGGAACAACATGAGGGTGAGTAAATGATGACAGAATTTCTGGGTGAACTACCCCTCCCTTTAATATGCAACAGACTGGTCATATCAAAAGTATCAAAAGATAACTTTGGTCAACTGTAATGCTGCGTTTTGAGTTTTTGTACTCCAGTCTGTCCAATACACGTATTAGTGGCACACTATTGATGCAGTATTGTCGCACCTTTAGGATGTGCACAACTCATCTAATTGTAAATCTATAAAGCAGGCTGTGAACATTGTCTGAGTCTTTTACTAATGTATACACTTTTACAGCAGCCTGAAGACAGTCATTATCCCACTTAACACACTGCAGGGTCATTTCTTTCTGCCTCACACATACACTCCAGAGTGCCTGTAAGCACATTACATAATCAAACAGTCATTACTGTTGAATGTGTGCTTGTGTGAGACGGAGAGACTGACTGATGGGAGTAAAGCTGAGTGGATCAGTTCAGGATGAGAGGTGTAGAAAAAGGGCTTAAATAACTGAATAATAACTGGCTAGTGATTTTTTAGAGCAATAAAACTAGACAATTCAGTCATTTTTGTCCCATTTCACAGATATGGATAATATCTACGTTGTGAAAAACTCGTTTGCATTTAGTTTTCATCTTAAAACATTCAAAATTATGAAATGTTTCTCTCTTTTTTTTTTGACCTTGCAACATTCAAACAAAATGCCATAATTTGTTCTTCCAGTGAAACAACAGACTTCTTTCGCTTTAACCCCGCCCCTTTCTTACAATCCACTGCAAACTACCATTCAGATCTGCCTCCAATTCAATCAACAACCAATGCATAGAACCAAGTCTTTCTTTTTGATAATCCATTACACTTGGATACGTTACAATTTGGAGGAAAAGATCTGTCGCTACATCAGTTACATCGCAACTTCAATGTCAGAAGCAGAAATGGTGGAGGACAAGTTAAATCCCTAAAGTAAGAACGAATGCAACAGTGATGCTTGCCTTAGCAAAAACCTCTAACAACCTGTTATGTCTATGCTTGGATTTTTTTCAAGCAGAGTATCTAATAGAGGCACAGAAAGACAGCGTGATTGGCTGAACTCACCTCTCTTCCTGCTAGACTGGTTTATGGAACTCAGATACGACACTGAGCTCTTCTTCCGCTGAAACACAGAAGCATAGATATGTAAATGTAAGCATGGCTCATTCCATTGGATATTTTCAATCTGTTTGCACTGAACTGCTCTTGTTTAATGTGTGTGTATGTTTGTTACCTCTGGTTCAAACATGGCTCCACTATATATTGGATTTGCTGTTGTTCGTCTCTTGCGTTCCTGACGCCTGCTTTGAATCTCTACACAAGCAAAGCGGGAAAGGTCAATACACATGCATGCACACAAACAAACCCACACACAGACACATTTCTTTCTCCTGACCTTCTAGATAGTCGCGTGTGACCAGTCCCAGAGACAACATGAAGGCCAGTTTCTGTGGAAAGAATGCATGCCATTATCTAAGTAATCAACATAATCTACATCACCATACTTATCATTATCGTCATTATAAACTGTGATGTAAACATAAATGTATTTTACCAGAGGGCTCTCCTGATGTTTGGACGCAGGAGTGTGTGTGTTGGTGGGGGCAGGTGAAGATGGCGTATCTAAAGACAGTGGAGGTGAAGTGTGTGTAGGCGTGTCTGGAGAGATGAGCAATGAAGTCTTTGGCTCTGTCCCATATTCCACTGCAGGTATCTGAAGCAGAAACAAAGATGTTTTAATACACTACAATTCAAAGGTTTGCGGTCAGTAAGATTTTTTTTTTTTAATGTTTTCGAAAGAAGTCTGAAAATACAATAAAAAGTGTATTATAGTGAAATATTTCTCTTAAAGAAACTCTTTTCTATTTGAATATATTATAATCGTCATTTATTACTGTGATGGCAATTACAGTCTTCAGTGTCACATGATACTTCAGAAATCAGTCTAATATTCTGATTTGGTGCATAAGAAACATTTCTTATTATCATCAATTATGAAAACAGTTGTGCTGCTTAATATTTTTGTGGAAACCATGATACATTTTTTGTTTCAGAATTAGTTGATGAATAGAATGACCAAAGAACAGCATTTATTTGAAATAGAAATAATTTCTTTACGGTCACAGTTTAATTTAATGTGTATTGCTGAATAATAATATAAAAAAAGCCAATATTAGAAGGAGACAGACAAAGATGGCTGCTGAGTGAACCAACTTTCCTTAAAGAAATGTTTTATGTGCTAATGAATGTTTTAGAGTAAACCTAAATACACTTCATGTGAATTTCCCTCACCGTGTTGTCAGAGCTTGGGCTGTTGTGAGGTAACTGCTGTGTGTGTCTCTGCGTGTGTGTAGATGGGGAGATCAGGATGCTTGTGTTGTTACAGCTGTTGGGGCAGGGCAGGCCATTGAGGATACGCATCTGCTGGACGTGACCAGAGGAAGGGAGGGCAGTGCTCAGTAACACCGGTGACTGTAAGGTGTGCACAGAAACCTGAGCAGCAGCTGGAGACAAAGACACTGGAGGTTTTGGCCTGACCTGCTCACACACACATACAGGTAAAAGAGAAGAATTATTTATGGAATGACTGGAGAAAATAAAAGGTGGGCCTAAGCAGTGAAAAAATGACTGAGGTATCAGAAACGTGATGCTCAACTCGGCAGTTTAACACAGCGGCTCTTTCACATCTAGATTTCAGTCTTACAGAAAGATGTTTCCTACATTTCTACGCCACAATACCACCAGCTCCACTCCAATATAATTTAAAATTGTCTATGTATTGACTATTATTTTATATTATAATTAATTTCAATAAAATGTTTAATTATTTGTTATGAATAACCTTATCTTTTAGTTTGCATCCATCAAGTTCTGAATGAAAAGAGAAAATAAAATGAGATGAAGTACCGTTTATTTGTAAAGTATACAATTTACTCAATTATGAAAAACTTTGCATCATTTAATATATGAACCATTTTTCAAATAAAATTTCCAACTTAAATGATAATATTATATAAATGACTATATTTCTATGTGATGTACACTATATAAAATTTGAGGTCAGTAAGATTTTTTTTTAAATATATTTTTAAAGAGCAGGTCACATGGGTTTTTGAAAAATATCTCTTTTGCAGTTTATAACGTAGCTATCCTTAAAAGAAAACAATCTGCAAAGTTGTTAATCAAAAAAGTGCATGATAAATAAAGATATTGTCTCTCAAAAGAGAGAGTCGATTCTGAATCGCCTTAACGAGTCGTCATATTTTCTCATCTTTTGCCGGTTACCGGTATACGTCACTGAGTAACACATTTGCATAATCCCCGCCTGCCCGCGAAATACGAACAGAGTCTGACCTGTCCACAAACACTTCCGCTAGACTAGTTAGTGTGTTTACATCATGTTGAGAAGACGCTGTGTTCAAGGATACCACAGAAACACAATTCCAACCTTTTGTTGTGTGCTTGTCATTTTACCAAGGACTGCTTCTCTAATCTTGGCTTTTATCTTCGTTGGCTTCTACTCTTCTTAATTTGGGCTAACAAGCTCTCCGAACCACAACCTGTAAGTATGATTGATACGTTATGTGTACATTTTCAATACACATGCATGCACACAAACAAACCCACACACAGACACATTTCTTTCTCCTGACCTTCTAGATAGTCGCGTGTGACCAGTCCCAGAGACAACATGAAGGCCAGTTTCTGTGGAAAGAATGCATGCCATTATCTAAGTAATCAACATAATCTACATCACCATACTTATCATTATCGTCATTATAAACTGTGATGTAAACATAAATGTATTTTACCAGAGGGCTCTCCTGATGTTTGGACGCAGGAGTGTGTGTGTTGGTGGGGGCAGGTGAAGATGGCGTATCTAAAGACAGTGGAGGTGAAGTGTGTGTAGGCGTGTCTGGAGAGATGAGCAATGAAGTCTTTGGCTCTGTCCCATATTCCACTGCAGGTATCTGAAGCAGAAACAAAGATGTTTTAATACACTACAATTCAAAGGTTTGCGGTCAGTAAGATTTTTTTTTTTTAATGTTTTCGAAAGAAGTCTGAAAATACAATAAAAAGTGTATTATAGTGAAATATTTCTCTTAAAGAAACTCTTTTCTATTTGAATATATTATAATCGTCATTTATTACTGTGATGGCAATTACAGTCTTCAGTGTCACATGATACTTCAGAAATCAGTCTAATATTCTGATTTGGTGCATAAGAAACATTTCTTATTATCATCAATTATGAAAACAGTTGTGCTGCTTAATATTTTTGTGGAAACCATGATACATTTTTTGTTTCAGAATTAGTTGATGAATAGAATGACCAAAGAACAGCATTTATTTGAAATAGAAATAATTTCTTTACGGTCACAGTTTAATTTAATGTGTATTGCTGAATAATAATATAAAAAAAGCCAATATTAGAAGGAGACAGACAAAGATGGCTGCTGAGTGAACCAACTTTCCTTAAAGAAATGTTTTATGTGCTAATGAATGTTTTAGAGTAAACCTAAATACACTTCATGTGAATTTCCCTCACCGTGTTGTCAGAGCTTGGGCTGTTGTGAGGTAACTGCTGTGTGTGTCTCTGCGTGTGTGTAGATGGGGAGATCAGGATGCTTGTGTTGTTACAGCTGTTGGGGCAGGGCAGGCCATTGAGGATACGCATCTGCTGGACGTGACCAGAGGAAGGGAGGGCAGTGCTCAGTAACACCGGTGACTGTAAGGTGTGCACAGAAACCTGAGCAGCAGCTGGAGACAAAGACACTGGAGGTTTTGGCCTGACCTGCTCACACACACATACAGGAAAAAGAGAAGAATTATTTATGGAATGACTGGAGAAAATAAAAGGTGGGCCTAAGCAGTGAAAAAATGACTGAGGTATCAGAAACGTGATGCTCAACTCGGCAGTTTAACACAGCGGCTCTTTCACATCTAGATTTCAGTCTTACAGAAAGATGTTTCCTACATTTCTACGCCACAATACCACCAGCTCCACTCCAATACAATTTAAAATTGTCTATGTATTGACTATTATTTTATATTATAATTAATTTCAATAAAATGTTTAATTATTTGTTATGAATAACCTTATCTTTTAGTTTGCATCCATCAAGTTCTGAATGAAAAGAGAAAATAAAATGAGATGAAGTACCGTTTATTTGTAAAGTATACAATTTACTCAATTATGAAAAACTTTGCATCATTTAATATATGAACCATTTTTCAAATAAAATTTCCAACTTAAATGATAATATTATATAAATGACTATATTTCTATGTGATGTACACTATATAAAATTTGAGGTCAGTAAGATTTTTTTTTAAATATATTTTTAAAGAGCAGGTCACATGGGTTTTTGAAAAATATCTCTTTTGCAGTTTATAACGTAGCTATCCTTAAAAGAAAACAATCTGCAAAGTTGTTAATCAAAAAAGTGCATGATAAATAAAGATATTGTCTCTCAAAAGAGAGAGTCGATTCTGAATCGCCTTAACGAGTCGTCATATTTTCTCATCTTTTGCCGGTTACCGGTATACGTCACTGAGTAACACATTTGCATAATCCCCGCCTGCCCGCGAAATACGAACAGAGTCTGACCTGTCCACAAACACTTCCGCTAGACTAGTTAGTGTGTTTACATCATGTTGAGAAGACGCTGTGTTCAAGGATACCACAGAAACACAATTCCAACCTTTTGTTGTGTGCTTGTCATTTTACCAAGGACTGCTTCTCTAATCTTGGCTTTTATCTTCGTTGGCTTCTACTCTTCTTAATTTGGGCTAACAAGCTCTCCGAACCACAACCTGTAAGTACTATTAATAGGTTATGTGTACATTTTCAATTGAGTGCTCAAATTAAATAGTTTTTGTGCTAATATGTGATGTATACCTAGTGCAGCTTTAGGTTTCCAGGTAAATCACGATCTTACTGAAATAGTTCTGATAATTTGCTGTGAACCCACTATCTCCAAAGAATGTGTCGATTAATGTAGACTGACTTTGTTCTAATTACTTCGTTTAATAATAAAGAATGTAGTGTAGTGCACAGACTTTATAATCATTGTGAAATTGCTGTTTATTTTGCTGCACGGCAGTTATAGGTTTAATGCAGGAGAGACGAGCGAGTTAGTTAGGCTAGTGCGCCTGTGAGCTGTTCTGCGTTCTGATTAAAAGTTAAGACAGAGCGTCTTTTGTCTGTCGTTCTGCAAACATTACAGTAGACATATTTTGGTTTACAAACTGTATTGTTT